TTGCAATGTCAAAGTCCGAAATGGTTTCTACATCAGAAGTTTCAAAATAGCCAAGAATGACTTTTTGCTCTTGGCAGCATTGAGCTGTGTGAAAATAGGTCAGGGAGAGGCTGAGTGTGTGTGCGTGTGTGCATACGTACGTGCATGTGCATGTGTCTGCACCTGGGAGTCTGCCCATGCTCCACAGAGTGCTTCACCCCCTGCTGCATATGCCCTAGGTCCTGGTGCCTACCTGGTGCAGCACGGGCCACTGACCTGCCACACCCAAGCAGCATGCTTAGGTGGGGAAGGAGGCGTCGCCCTCCGTGCTCCCTCCTGAGGTGGATGACATGAGCTGCCCTGAGGCTGAGCTTACTCTGGCTGGGGCTGAGTGCAGATGTGGCCCAGCAGGACCAGCTGAGGCTTTGCTGGACTCTGAGAGGCTCCACATCCTGACATCAAGGGTTCATTCACCTCTGCCTTGGCTGGGCCACTCTGCTTCCAGGTTCTCTGTATGGATTGGAGAGGGGGAGGAAGGAGCAACTGCACTCATAGTCATTGAGAGCCAATACATCAGGCTTCTAGGCTTTCTGTGCTATCTTGTTTAGACCATGAAAGGTAAACCAAGGCCCAGAGAGTTCTGGGAACTCGGCAAGTTCCCACAGGAGCAGACAACAAAGCCACGCTTAGACTCCCTTCCCAACTCCTACCAGACCCTCTTGCTTCAGATACCGAGGTCCTCCTAACCTTCTCTCCTGCTGTCTGATTTGAGGTCAAAGTCTGTCTTCATCCCAGAAAATGAAATCAAATCATTGCTAACAGGAATAGCTCCAAAAGACTTACGTCAACTTTGGAAAACACTAGCTGGGCTGCCGTGAACGCTATTTTTCAGAGGCCATAATGATGTTTGGAAATCCCCTGAAGAGCCAGAAAAATCTATGTTTCCTCTAACTTGCCAAAGTTGATGCTGTTTTTAGGGCTAGGTGCCAACCTCACAGGTATTGTATAGCCAGAGACACTGGCACACATCTGGAACCTGCAGTGGGACAACTGTTTAAAAAATCTGTTGGCCAAAAGGTGACGACGTTGAGGCCACCAGAGAGGGACGAGGGCCAGTTCTCAGCTATGAAGATGTGGGTGGTGAACTGAGGGGCTAACCTGGGTACTGCCAAGGGCAACGTGCACTGTGGCAAGGGAAGAAGACTAGATGTTCCTCCCCTGCTCTCTCCTCTACTTTTCTGGCCTCCCAGCCTGGCACTCACCCTTTATCCCATCTTAAAGGCCTCCCTGTTAGCTGAACAGGCACAGGAGGGCTGTGAGCCTGGAGCTGCCAACAGTGACCAGACAGGAAGAACTGCCTACTGGGACATCTGTTTACAAACACTGGAGCTGAAGCACAGTGATAATGTTACTTGAGCCCTCGGATCCAGCTGTGCCTAAAACCCTGCGCTTTATAATGAGGTGAATAAAACAATTTGCATTTCTGGTTAAGAAATTTCCAATTGTGTTTCTGTTTCTTACAAGAGAAATATGCAAACAACTATAACTGAAAACAGCTTTGGCTTGTCTGGTCTGATTTTCAACTCTACATCCTCTAGGTCAGTCAAGGTGGGCTGCCGGCAACTTTGAAACAGAGCCACCTGACATGGTAAATCCAGAAGCTGGAGCCATCGGAGAGGAAGAGAGTTGGCCAGGCTCTGCCTCAGAAGGCCTCAGCCTCAGGAAAGAGAAGATGCTTGGGTCTGACGTGCATAGGCCTAGAGCTTTGCAGGCAGCCCATGCTAGGAGCCCAGCAATCTATGGGTTTTTAAAGGCTGACTCAAGTTATGGTGGTAGTCAGTGCCTTCTCCCAGGCCTGTGCTGCAGGCTATTGTAGTACATGTATTCTTTAACTAATTAATTAATTCCCACAGAAAGATCTCTGATGCCCTTCTCTGGATGAGGAAACAAATGTTCCTAGTAGTAAAGTCCCATAGTAAGCGGCAGAGTAGAAATTGAAATGCTGCTATATTGGACTCCAAACCTGTGCCTTGGAATACACTATCCTGTACTTCCGCCAAGACAAATCAGTGGGGTGGGGAAGTTTGGCAATCTGAAGAATTAATAGTATTCTTTCTGTTGGTGGAGCCCTTAACGTGTCTATAAAACATAACTGAATATGTACTTTCACTGCATCTATTTTACTGAAATGGAAACCGAGGCTTAGAGGGAGGACTTGCCTGGTCATTTTGGCAAACTGGGTACACTAACCAGAGGTGACCCTCCTCAAATGAAGCAGCCAGTCTGTATTCTGCAGAAACTAAGACCACACTGATGTATGCTTATTGGCAGTGATGGTATCCATCTGCCCAAGGAAGAGCTCTGACAGGTGAGAGGACCAATTGGTATTGTGACCACAAATCCCAAAGAGCTCTGAATTCACAAAAAAATATCCCCAGCTCCATTCAGATCCCATTTATTTTTCAGCAACACCTGATAGGGCCAAATTCCAGTTCAACCAGAGATTCAGCTTCCTGCTGTTCCCAGGGGGATCTAGCTATGAAAAAAAGCCGCCTTCTTTTGTTGGGACATACTGGGCAATAAAGGTTGCAGGACTGGGCTGAGCCACCTCAGGGGATTCCGCCCCCACCCCCAGCTTCTAGCTGCCTGGCTTCCTCCCTGAGGAAAGCAGCAGTTCAGCTCAAGCCGTCTGAGCCCTCACTGTTGGGCCTGCCCTGATGCCATGCCAACCTCAGAGGCACCTGTGCTGGAAAGACAAAGCAAAGCTAGCTGTCTATTGCTGTTCCTTTAGTAACTTTCCCCTGCAGGAGCAACCAGACAGGGACCCAAGCAATGGGACAGAAGGACAAGCATGGCCATGTCTTTCACTACTAGAGATGAGCCGGGGCAGAAAGGTGAGCAGCAATCCCACCCACCTCCTTTGACCCTACCCTCCATATTTGGGGGAGTAGAGGGAGAAGAGAGAGAGATCCAGCCCTGGGCTTCCCTAAAGCCAGGTGCAAGGCCTTCTTTATTCTTTTCTCTATGAGCAGTCTGCACTCTCTAAAATTAAGCAAGTGTTGAAGACAGAAGGGGCTTCATGAGATCAAGCCCAGCCCTTGTAGGTTCCAGAAGTAGGACAGGTTCAAAGGGTAGATCTAGGCTCCACTGTTTGATTTCCTTGGGAACAACGTTAACTTTTTGTCATACCAGTACTAGTATTTATTGAGAGCCTTCTGTGTATTAAGGATTCAATGGTTGGGGCCTGGGAGATAGCTTCGGGGGATAAATGCTCACCTGGCAAGTGCAAGATCCTGAGTTCAATCCCTGGTACCGCAAAAAAAAAAAAAAAAAAGGATTCAATGGTAGGCCCAAAGAAAACTCAGTTACTTTAGAGTTTACAATCCATGGAGGAGATAACTATAAATCAAACAAATAGTACTGCACATACAGAATGTGAAAAATCCAGGAGAGATACGACAGGGTATACAGTATAATTTAAGATTGGTGATAGCTCCCCTGGAGAAAGGATAATGGAGCTATAGTCTGAAGACACATAGGTGTTAGCTGAAGGGCATTGCAAGCAGAGGCAAGCCATGTCCCTCTGAGAACAGTTGGAAAGGCCCATGATGCTCAAGTGCAGAGTGGAGGGGCAGGGGCAGGGAGGCCACACAGAAACGTGGGTTTTCTCTAAGAGCAGTAGGACAGCTTCTAAGGCACTGTGGCACAGAAGTAAGCTGATGACTTTTGCAGTTTGAGATTATTTTGGCACTACAGCCACTAATAGATAGGAAGGGAACCAGGGGGCATGGAAGAGGCCAGTTAGGAGATCTCTTATTTGCCTGTAATGAGATAACAATAATAGTATCTCATAAGCTGTTGCCAGTATTCAATGAGATAATGCATCCTGTTTACTCCAGAAACTGGCTCATATAAAAATTCCATAAGTGTCTTTATTGTTTTTATTGTTGGCTTTCTTCAGAGTGCAGACCTGTGCTGTCCTTTAGGACTGCTCCTGTGAGATGCGGTGAAAAGAGTAGCTGTGGTGCTTTCGCAGGGTTGAAAAGTGGTTTGCACCAAGGCACAAAGTTCAAGACCAGAATCCAGGATGCCAGAATGTCCCTTCAGGATGTCTCAAAAGTACAAGAGATTCACGAAGAAAAAAGTGTTCTAACTGCTCCCACAAGGACGCTGGAGAGGCAGGTGAAAGCCTCTCATCCCCGACGGCAAGCCCTAGCTTTTGCTCAGAAAATGAGGGGCTCTCTGCAGAGGGAGTCTGGAGAGCAGGCGTAGGGCTCCCGGTCCCTCGCATTTCCGCGGGCACCCTGAGCCCTCGCAGTCCAGGGCCAGTCTACAAGTTTCCAACCAGACCTGCCTCCAGCCCTGGATTGGACGCGCGGGCGGGTGCTGGGCCCCGAGCAAAGGAAGCCAGGAGGAGGAGGAGGGTCCCCGGAAGGCCGGCTCCAGCCCGCCGCCCGCTGCCCCCTCCCCAGTCACGTGGCCCTGTGGGTGGGGACCGACCTGAAATTGCCGAAATCCCGGGCTCCCGAAACTTGGGAGTGCGCAATCCTCCCTTCCGTGCCGCCGTCGCGGGGCCTCCAGGAGGGTCGTCGGACGTGCGACTCGTCGAGCCGAGGTGCGGTGCGCACGGCGGGACCCTGGCATGGCCCGGCTGTCGGTGATCCCCGGGTCGGCCACGGTGTGGACAGGTGAGCGGGTAGCCGCGAGGCTGCTAGGCTGGAAGGAATTATGGGAGGCTGGGCCCTGCGCGCATCTCAGCCCAGGGATGCGGGACATGCACTCGGGGGCAGCGGCCTCTGAGTGAACCGGCTGCGTGGACCCTCGGCCCGCTAGCCAGTCGGGGCAGCGCCAGCAGTCACCAGCACACTTTCGCCCCGGGCGACAGGCACGGGGGTGGGCGGTGGGACGCGCGTGGGCGGGGCTCTCCTCAGGCTCCGCCCCCGGCGCGCGCACTGGCTGCTCTGCGTGACGTCACGTTCGGCTACAAAAGGCGCGGCGCGGAGCGGGGCGCGTGCGGAGCCGGAGGAGCTCGAGGCTGAGGGCTCTGGGATTCGGGGCGACTGGGGTCGCTCGGTCCCGCGCCTTAGCGATGTTTTACTCAGGGCTCCTGACCGAGGGCGGCCGCAAGGAGACCGACATGAGAGAGGCGGCGTCGCTGCGGCAGCAGCGCCGGATGAAGCAAGCGGTGCAGTTCATCCACAAGGACTCCGCCGACTTGCTGCCCCTGGACGGCCTCAAAAAGCTGGGCTCATCTAAGGACACGGTGAGCCCCGCGGCCGCCTCAGGGTCCCCGCCCCCTCCCCGGGTCACCTCAGTGCCGAGCGGGCCCCAGTCCGGCTCTTGACGCTTTCACTGAGTCACCGGCCGCTGGCAGATGCTCGGGAGGGAATCCCGTGCCCGCAGCACCCTCCCGCTGGGGTTGCGCCCTCCCTCCCCTCTGCCTTCTCCAGGGGGCTTGTGAGGGAAGAGGAGACCATGTCCTGTCCTCTCGCCCTTAGGTTCCTTCTCCCGCTGAGTCTCCGTGCCGAATTCATTCGGTTCGTGGGGCATGAGTCTCACACCAGTCTTATGACCCTGATAGAGGTGACTGACTCCTGACAGTGGGTGAGAAAGAATGAAAAAGGTTTCTTGGCAGTCACCGCGTCGAGATGACCTGTTAACGCCACCGATGCTCTTTGCAAACATCTGCTCTTTTGACCTTCCATTCTGAGTGGGGCGAGAGAAAAAGGGTCTAATGTGTAGGTTCCCTGAACCCCAAACAACTCTTCAGCATTCTTATCTCTCTTCCTGCTGTAGCCCTGCCCCCCAGGTGTGGGTGGAGGGAGAAAGCCAGGCTGCTGCTTCTCATTTACCTGCTAATGTCTGCTCTTAGTTGGAGCTGGAGCTGGTGCAGTCTACGCGGCTGTTCTTGGCATTAAATAGAAACCCAGGACTGAAAACGACCCTGGGTTCAAAGCGGTGCTGCGCTCTTATCTATAGAATGAGGATGGATGGCTAAGGGTACCAAGGAGCTACATCTGATTCTTCTCTTTCAGTCATTGTAATGGTTCTGGGCCGTGTTTAACCTTGTTTTATCTGGATGTTGTCCTTGTGCTTTGATGGTTTTCTTGAGTTCGTAATCACTTTATTCATCTGGAGGATAATTTATGAAACATTAATTAAATATATTTCACAAACGACATGAGATGCTGTGCATAATCTTTCCAGTACTTTTGTATTTTGAGTTCTTGGAATGTTGCATTTTGGATATTGGCCCCGGTTCACTCCAGTTGCCATTTCTACCCCAGGATTGGCAGTGGAGAGCAGAGCTTCTGTGTCTACTTTTTTAACAGGTCTAATGACGCATCAATACCATTGCCATCAATACCATTTCCTCCCTACCATTAGATACTCACGTGTAGGGAGAAATCTATGCCAGTTATCTTGCCCAGTTTTATAAAGTTATATTTCTTGAACAAGCCATGGGATAGCATGATTTGATCGTGCTGAGAGTGATAAGAATGTATTCCTTTTTCTTGCCCCCCCCCTTTTTTTAACCTTTAAAGCAATCTAGATTCATTTGGCAAACCAGATCTAAGTCTTCTTTCTTTTAGACCAAAACAAATCTAGTTCCTAGAAGTATTAGGAATCAGTGAAGAGGGAATTATTGGGAGAAGAATTAAAATGTGGACTTTTTGTGCTGGATTTCAGATACTGACATTTGGTTGGATCATTAAGGAATCTCTCTCTCTCTCTCTCTCTCTCTCTCTCACATACACACACACACACGAGGAACTATCTCAGTATCTTTCCTAGGATTGCTTTACTACTTGTGCTATGTAAGAAAAATCCCCCCCCCCCAAAAAAGAAAAAGAAACATCCTGTCTGCTTTTCTGACTCCATTTTGTCACAATTGAGCCACCAGAAGCTGACAGCATAGAACATACCATTAAGGTACAAGGAGGAAGCATCCCCAAGAAGCAAGGGCTTGCCATACATATGACACACAGCAGTTAACTGTGGATCCCTGAACCATGGTTCACACTTTCTGTACCCATATCCTGGAGTTAATTTCCCTCTTTCGCTGTTCTCACACCTTTAAAGTGCAAGTGATTGCACAGAAGAACCAGGGCAGGTCACAGAACCCCAGGCCAGGGTAGGAGAGATGCAAGCACTGGGGTGAGACAATGTATTTTAAACTCTCTTGAAATTGATTTTGCAGCCTCGGTATGGTCTTTCAAGTAACCTCAGAAGTATGTTCTTATCGCTCTGTTGTATAAATACATCTGATAGCTAGACCATTGCTGACTCTATTTTCTCTTTCTGGAAGCTAAATTTAGAGGATGTTAGGATTAATTGAATAGTTTGTATTTGAAGTAGTTTATAGGACAAACTCAATAGAAGGAGATACAAAAAGGAGAGAAGACAAATTAGCTTTCTTGACTGTGGTTTGAGCAGTGTGAAAATTGTGGGTTGTTTTCCTCTTCCTAGTAACTGTAATTGAATTATGCTGCTGGCTTTCCTTATTATGTACCTCATACCATGCTTTTTCTATAATGTTCACCCTTTAATAACAGCTTGCCCGCCCTTTTTGGTTGAGCAAATGGGCACCATAGTAATTTAAGATGGTCATGGTCTCTTGGCCCCAAAAAAGTCCCTTTACCCAATCCTTAAGTGTATGGAGTTGGCTGCTACAAAGTCTGCTGTAGAAATTAGTCATTTCTTATGTCTGGCTCTCTTATCCTTGTGTTGTATTGTTTATTTTGTATTAGGTTAAGAACTAAAGCCAGAAAGCTGAGTAATATATCTTTTATTTAATATTGTTGTTTTGAGACAAGGTCTCACTCTGTAGTCCAGGCTGGCCTCGAATTCAAGGTGATCCTCCTGCCTCAGCCTCCTGAGTGCAGGATTATAGGCGTGTGCCATTATACCCAGCCATTCTTTAAATAAAATCTTGGTGAAGGTTGAGAAAAACATCTTCATTCTCTATTTTCTTCATTCTCTCTAATAGGTGTTTTCTCTTATTCTCATCTCTCTCCTTTTGGCTACTGGTTTCATAAATATTTTTCTCACTGTGCTAAAGACTTGTAAGTCATTTTAAAAGTAGCATATTATCTGCTATCTCTTATATGTGACCTATTTCCCAAACTGTGTCCATTAAGCCATATCCTTGTCTGGCATTAGAGGGAAGTTTTCTTCCTTATGATTGATTCTGCATATAACAAATTGATTAGTATTAGGAATACAGTATTAGGAAGCTAAAAAACAATGGTAAGGAAAACTGAACAGGAAGTACCTGATCTGAAATACTGGGTCCAGAGCAATCTAAGGTGGTGTCCTTTGGCAGACAGGTCAGCTTTGGGTCAGAAAACTTTGGATCCTTACAAGGTATATTAGTTACTTTTTACTCCTTGCAGGGACAAATACCCACACTCAAAATGAAGGAAGGAACTCAGAGTGTAGGTTTTAGTTCATACTCCACTGGCTCCAAGGCAAACGACAGCAGTTGATGGTGGCAGAAAACAATGAAGAGCAGAGGAGGAGCAGCAGCTGCAGCATCCTTCAGGCCTCTCAGGAAACCTTCCTCAACTCCTTTATATACACTTTTTAATGCTGAGTCACTCTGGGGCAGCCCATGGCCATAGGGTTGAAAAAATGGCATCCCAGGATGGGGCCAATAGCACCCCAGGGTGGAACCAGTCGCACCCCAGTGCTGGCCCAATAGCCCCAGGATAGAACCAGTGCCCTCAGGTTGTGCCCCTGAGCCATTCAGCCGAGTTGACACAATGTATCAGCTACCATAAAAGGAAAGCATGAAGATTTCCTGAACTGCTATTGCATCCTAATTACAGCATCCTTATCATAAGACTTTCTGTGCTCAGGAGATAGTTTAGATGTCTGGAATACATAGATAACAATAGGAGAAGTTTCTTTGAAGGGCCTCTGGTATAGCTCAGCGGACTAAGTGCTAGCTTAGGTAAGCGTTGGGGCTAGGGTTAGATTCCTGGCTCTGCGTGGCGCGCCAGGCCCCCCCTCCCCCAGCCGGTGATTGAGTCCACGCGTGGTGGCGCACGACTGTAATACCAGCACTTGGGAGGCAGAAATCAGGAGGGTCACTACCAATGTGGGCTGTGTAGTGAGACCTTGCACAAAAAAACAGGAAAAAAAAAAAAGATTCTTTGACAGGGAGTTTATAAATTAGGGCAAAAGATTGGACAGATTAGTAAATTTATTATTGATCATGCGAAGCAGTAATTTGAGTATTGGAGATAAAATGGTGAACCAAAACAGAGTTCCTGCCCTCATGGAACTTATATCCTTGTGAGAAGAAGAGGCAAAATAAAATTAAGTAAATATGTCAAATAAATAAGCTGACTGGTGGCACATGCCACTTGGGAGGCAGAGGCAGGAGGATTGCCATGAGTACAAGGCCAGTCTAAACTTTTACATAACAAGATCCTGTCTCAAAAAACAAATATACATAAATCCAGTGAAATGTATATATACACCTATATGAAACCAGTGAAAGATTTTGAGCAGAGAGCTAACACGATGTGACTTACTTTATAAAACATTACTCAGGCTACTCTGTGGATTAGATCATAGAAGGGCTAGAAGCAGGGAGACTGATTCATATTCAGAGATTATTCTACAGTACCCCAGGTGAGAAATCATACTGCCTCAGAGCAATGAAGGCAACAAGAAAAAGGTCAAATTCTGAATATATTTTGAAGATCGAGTTGATAAATTTAGTTGATAGATTGGGTGAAGACTGAAAGAATGAGTAGGTAAAGATTGCCTCAAGCTTTTTGATCTAGCAAGTACAAGAAGGAGGGTTTTCATTTGCTGACATGGGGGACACAACCAGGGGAACAGAGAGGGGACAAGGAATAAGAATAAAGAGTTTGATTTTTGAACAAGTTTGGGATGTGGGTGTTGGTAGACACTCCACAAGAAGATAAATAGCACCACCAGGCAGCCCATGCTGTTTGACAGAAGTGCTAGTAAGGGTGCAGCAGTTCAGTGAGTGTTGTTCCCCTGGCTTTATAAGGTGATGGGGGTGGAGACCAACAGCTTCACCATTCCCAGTGAGCCCTGGGCTATGAGATGGAGTGGAGAATGCTGCAGACACCGTGCGTGGGCTGTAGAATCTCAGTAGGAATTTTATCAGTTATCTGCTCTGGTTCCTCACCCATTTGTGAATCCATTTCAGACCAATCCACAAAGCAGATAACAATCAGGAAAGACTGATTTCTCTGAAATGACATGTCCCGTGGATGTGGA